AAAAACTGCGTCAAATGCCACCAACCGCGTGAAAATTGGTTCATTCATTCAAAAGTTATTGCGATTTGAAAATTCAATAAATAGTGTTTTATCAAACCTCTATCAAACTTTTGAGCTCGAAGAGCTCAAAAGCAAACAAAAGCTATTTTTTTGAGCTTGGAGAGCTCAAAATAATACACAAATCGTACTTATGAGCTCGAAGAGCTCTAAAACGTCATAAGTGCAATTTCAAGCGTTTAGGTATAGAATTGGCGGGAAGTTGCAGGGATGGCCTTCAGGGTCAACCGCATTCCTAATTTTTTTTTATATTTATTTAAAAAAAAATTGTCAAATTTTCAAAAATGGAAAAAATTTTTTTTCCGTAAACTTTATTTTTATCATAAAATAAATATAATTTAACTGAGTCGTGTCGCGACACTCGCCCCGAGTGGATGTGTGTTGTTATTGTTTCACGGGTTTGAGGTTATACTCAGCAAAGTGCGTTTATTGTTTTCATAATTTGTAACAAAAGAAAATCTCACGGAAGCGATAGTTGAAAGTTAATTAAGAGAATAGTGGTCACTCCAAGGAGCTCCACACTATGTCGAACCCTACAGTACTGTCATCCTCAAGTAAAATGCCACCGTCAAAACAAAGTAACGGACGCTCCCAGCTCTAAACAAGCCAAAGTCACAACGCTCCCACTAGTCCCCAAGTTAACAACTCCAATTTATCCAACAGTTCAAATGTGAATCAATCTAACCCAAGAAAATCTACTAGTTATGCCAATGTTGCTAATGGATTATTTCCTAAAAAAGATCAAGCAATAATTATTGATGCTGTTGAAGGATTTGATGTAAAAGAATATATTTTAGCTATTGCTGCTGTAACGTCTTCTAGGGCCATTTTATACGGCTCTAGGATCTCCAACGCTCGGGTATGTGTTTATCTGGACTCCAAAGAAACAGCTGACAACTTAGTCGACGTTCAACAAAAAATTACTATTCAAGATGTTATTCTTCCTATTAGACACTTGATCATTCGTAATAAGCGAATTGTTCTGTCCAACGTGTGCCCAGTTATCCCCCATTACGTCATTGAAGACCGACTTGGGGAATTAGGGATCCAGGGCAAGTTTATATCTTACCTGATGACATTGAGAAACTACCTGAGTCCTTCCAAGTTTACTACGAGGATACTAACTACTGGATATACACTTCATCTGACACTTTAAAATTTTTTATCTGCGATAACATTGGATATATAGCGAGAAACTGTAAAGAACCGATTGAAACACCGAACAATGTAAGAATGGAAGATGGGGCTTCAAACGATCTTTTGATCCCTGAAGACCTCCCGATGACTCCAAAGACAACTAAATTCCAGACTTCTCCCTCTTTACCTAAGAACTCTGAGATCCCAACTGCTCCCAATCAAGAAAAAACCATGTTACCGCCACTTACACCTATGCAACAAAAGTCATTGGTCTCTATATCAAAAAACCAAACAGCCATGGAAACTAAGGAGAGAACAAAAGCACTCAAAAGAACCCACTCCCTTACGACAGTCGGATCCTCAGATATTAGCGACATAGAAAGACTTGACGCTGATAACTAGAAAACTGAGAAAGCTATTGAAATTGATTCAGATCGGGAGTCTGAAAACTCTTATGCAGCAAGTGAGCTGGAGGACAATATATTAAATATCGATTCACAGGAACCTCGAGTCGTAAAAAAGAAAATCAAGACTGACGACAGAACCGATGACCAAGTCTGGCAAGACCTGGAGAACGAATTCAAGGAAGAACAGAACTTCCCTATGACCATTATCCAGTTCAAAAACTTAAAGGACTCTGCTAAAGGCAAACATGATGTCACTGAAATAGTGGCAGAGTATGTGTCTGACCCAACCCTACTTTTGGACATGGCTAGAATTATCTACCGTAGTATGAACTCCAGACTAAAAAATCGCTGCTCAAGATTAATGCGAATGTCAGGAGCACTACCGAAGACGACAGAGAAGATAGTCACTAGATCCAGAAGTCAATCTCTCTCTCGTAACTAACCTAATCAAGCAAAAATAAAATGGCACTGATTCAGTTGAATGTCAACGGGTATCTCAATAGATTAGAAAATATCCAATTGATTATCAACAAAATAAACCCTCTAATTCTCTGTCTCCAAGAAACAAATTTTTACAATGATTATTGCGCAAGCATTCAAGGTTTCCAAAACTACTATAAAAACAGAAGTCAGGCTAGGAGGGCGAGCGGTGGTGTGGCTATATACGCTAGACCTCACTCAATTCCAGAACAAGTCTTATTAAACACCAACTTGGAAGCAATAGCTATAAAAATCAAGTATCCGTATCAGTTGACAATTTGCTGTATCTATTTGCCTAATAGCACCATGATAAACGAAGAAGAGATCCAGAACCTTTTAGAACAGCTACCGCCTCCGGTACTAATCACAGGAGACTTTAACAGTCATCATGAACAATGGGGCTCACGCTCCAACGATTCCAGAGATAAAATAATAGTGAACTGGCTCGATTCCCGAGAAGAACTAATACTACTAAATACCGGTAAGGAAACTCATTTCAATAGCCAATACGGTACAACCAGCAATATTGATTTGTCGATCACCTCAGCATCAATAGGTTACAAAATGGAATGGAGCGTCGCAGATGATCTATACGATAGTGACCATTTTCCAATTATTATACAGCTAACTAATGATAGTAGTTCCCAAGATTCAACAACTGGGCAAAAAAAAATGGATATTTGAAAAAGCTAAATGGTCGGAATATCAACAACGAATAGATAACGACATCTTGTCACAAAGAGATACCTTAAATTTAGACTACCTACCTATCAATACTGTATTAAGTAACTGGACCAAGATTATTCTATCTGCTGCGGAAGATACCATACCGAGAACATCAGGAGTCTCAAAAAAGAGAAAAGTCCCTTGGTGGAACCAAAAATGTGCAAAATCCTTCCAGGAAGCTAAAAAAGCTAGAAAACTCTTCAACAAAAACAGAACCAAAGACTCAGTTGATGCACTCAAGATTGAGTTTAAAAAGAAAAGAGCTTTAGCTTGAAGAGCCTTTAAAGAGAGTCGCCGCACTTCTTGGGAAAATTTTGTTTCATCAATAAACCCCAACACACCGATAGACACCATGTGGAAGAAAATTAAAGCCATATCCGGAAAAAATAATCATAGTAAAATTATTCTAAAGGACTCAGAGGGCATTCTTCAAAGTGATCCGACAATTACATCTGACATTCTGGCAAACGCTTTTGCCACAACTTCCAATACAGACAACTATTCAGAAACCTTTAAAATATATAAAGAAACCTAAGAAAGAAATCCACAATTCAACCTAAAAGATAACTCTAATCAGATCAATAGAGAAATTGGGATGTGGGAGCTGACTAAAGTATTGGAACAAGCGGGTGCTACTAGTGCTGGACCAGACAACATTCCCAACCAGTTATTAAAAAACCTCCCAGTAAATGGATTAGTCTTTCTATTGGAACTATATAACCACATTTGGACTAAACAAGTCTTTCCAGATAGCTGGAAAGAGGCAATTATTATACCAGTCAGAAGACCTAACAAACCACTCTCAGAAACCAACAGCTACAGACCTATAGCGCTTACTTGTAATATGTGCAAGCTCCTCGAAAAAATTATTTGCAAGAGACTAAGGTGGTACTTGGAACACAATAAAATACTGTCTCCGTACCAATTTGGATTCAGAGAAAATAGATCCACATATGATTACTTAGTAAACATTGAAAATGACTTGTGTGAAACCTTTGCCCAAGGCAATACAGCAGTTGTAGTAGCTTTAGATCTGGAAAAGGCCTACGAAATGGCCTGGGCCCACCGCGTGCTTGAAATACTGGATAAGCTGAACATCAAAGGTAATTTGCTAGCGTTTACCATGAAATTCTTAAGTGGAAGATCCATACAAGTCAGAGTGGATGGTAAATTATCAACACCAGTGCAACTAGAAAATGGGTTTCCAGTGGGAGCTGTTCTCAGTGTTTTACTGTTCATACTGACAGTTAACGACATTTCATCAGCCGTAGAGGCCCCTGTCAAAGGATACATGTTCGCAGATGACTTCACGGTAATAGGGAAAGGTAAGGATGCTGATACAATTCTGAAATTGACACAGAACACCATTAATAGCCTCCAGAACTGGGCTGACAAGTCAGGATTTAAATTCTCTCAGACTAAAACTGAGTATATGATCTTCTCGAGAAGAAGAATTGCTGAAACGATCAAACTCCAACTAGGGGAGCAAGTTATTAATAAAGTTACTACACTTAAAATTTTGGGAATGGAATTGGACTGTAAACTCAAATGGGATTCCCACATCAAGAAACTCAGAACAGCTTGCCGCAAAAGATTAAACATAATCAAATCTTTAGCTTCAACAACGTGGAGATCAAATAGAGATTGCCTGCTTCGAACGTATAGAGCCATAATACGACAAAAAATGGATTATGGATCCATATTTTAAGACTCAGCTTCTCCAAGTTTACTGAAATCACTGGAGACTATTCAAAACACTGCTCTCAGATATTGTTTAGGAGCTTTCCGCACCAGCCCTATCAATAGTATCTTGGCTGAAACAGGAGATAAACCTCTGGCTAATAGACGAAAAGAGCTAGTCTTAAAATATCGCACAAAAATTTCTACTAGATGGCACAACCCAGCAAACAGTCTAGTATTCAAGATATCAAACATAGATATAGAACTTGAGATAAAAAAGTTTCTCCCTCAACCACTCAGAATCCGAGCCAATAAATACCTCATGGAGTTTTCACTCCCTCAAACCGATTGGACTCCTAGAAACGTCATGGCTCTCCCACCATGGGAGGAATTGATATTACCAATAAACCTAGACCTAGCAGAGAACACACGAAAAACTACGTCAACTATCATATATCAAAACCTATTTCTCGAATTGAAAGAAAAATACAGCGGTTATCGAGGATATTATACAGACAGCTCCTGCGTGGACGGCAGATCTAGCTGTGCAATCATTAATGATAATGACCCAGTCACAATTCGACTTGAAGATTATTGCTCAATATTCACATGTGAGGCGACAGCTATCTTAAAAACCCTACACATTATCAACAGCCCCAACAAGATTAACAAGTTTGTCATCTTTTCGGACTCCCTATCAACTTTAACAGCAGTGAAAAGAAATAATAACAAGTCCTTACTAATCCAAGAAATTAAGTACCTACTACACATGTTAAATACCATATCAACGGTAGTATTAGTTGAGATTCCAGGTCATCAAGGTATCAAAGGTAATGACGAAGCTGATACAAAAGCAAAAGAAGCAACCCTTAAAGAAAATCCTGATAAACTCACAACGCCCTTTCCAGATGATTTCATTAAATCAATTAAACTCTCAGTTGGAAAAAAATGGAATAGTCAATGGCTGGAACTGAAAAACTCGGACCTCCACGAGATAAGGGACTCAGTCCTAAATTTATTCCCCAACTTCTACGTCTGTCGTAAAGATCAGGTGTCCATCAATAGACTTCGCATTGGACACACCCTGTTGACTCACAAATGGTTATTAGATAAAGAGCAAAGTCCTAAATGTGAAAAATGTAACACACACCTTACCGTCAAACATATACTAATGGATTGTACTTCAAATTCAAGGATTAGAGCGGAATTGAAATTTCCAAGCAGCCTAAAAGAATGTCTCCTCACACTGGCGGGCTGTTTCAAATCGTTAGAACTGTTAAAAAGATTAAAAATTAGAGACAAAATTTAAAAGTAGAATAACCACCATATCATGGTAAACTTTATAGTAGTTGTTTAATTAACTAAAGAAATGATTTTATTTAACCTTATATAATTTTGTAATAAATGTGGTCGTTGATGACCAAGCTGTTGTAAAACGACCTTAAATAAATAAATAAAAAAAAAATATATAATTTAACGATTTTATGATATAATATTCTCAATTTATAGACTTAATTTACGAATATAATCGACAAGATTCAAATTCTAACCTTCCAGTAAGGTCGACAAAGGGCTCGTTCAAGTTTACTAAGTTCTTAACTGGACTGAGCTTAGTATACCTTGCATTGTTTTCTTATAGATATTCTTTAGAGAGAATGTAGTCCCTTTCAGTTTTTGATACAAGATCTGCTAAGATCTGCAAAGAGCTTAGTAAACTTGAACGAGCCCAAACTAGGGTAGGACAATTGTAGACTTACCTTGCAACGTGGCCAGTTGGCTCACATTGGGTAAATGCCAATTTACCACCTGATACTAAACGTTTGCCGATAACATAGATCAGATTATAAATTAGATAATAATTGCTAATAGTACGAAAATCATTTGAGAGTGGCGCTAAACGTCTCCCCACTTCTCAATGCTAAAATATGTACGCGGAAGCCGCGTGCAACCAGTCTTTGTTCAAACCCCATAATGTATACTTCTGTAATTGATATATTTCTTGAAATATAAGTAATTATTTTTAGCGTGTTACAACGTAATGGTCGGTATTTTATTCATTTACACCGTTTATTAAAGAATAACAGCATTTTAAACTATAATAGTACGATACGACTCTGATTATTAGTTAACAAGGAGTATGTCGTACATTTATTAATTAATACGACGCATATACAAGATAATTTCGCTTGGCATGTCGTGTACTCAAGAGGTCTCGAGTAGTCAGCCATTTTGTTGAGGAAAGCGTCGTTTCATTGTACGAGGAAGATCCTGGTTGTTGGTCACTTCGATTATTCGTCTGTTCCTGATCCAGTAACCGGCCCAGCTGCAGCCACGAGGAATCTACCACCGCTGGACAACGTTAGAGCACACCGAAGTGGTAGTAGTACCTGTTGTAAGTCAGGTGGTATATTGGTAAGAATTGGACGCGGTATTAAACTTACTTTGAGCTGTATTTTTCAATATTTGTATTTGACGACCATTTAGCTCTATTTTTCCAACTAAGCGATCAGCGGAGCAGTACGCGGTAAAGGTTGGTTTGTGTCGGAGCTAAACCCACTTTTCAACGAGTATCGCCACCCACGATTTGCCCTGGACCATATTCTTTACGCGAATTAAATCAATTAGCTATTTGTAGCTTTGAAAGCTATCGGCTTGGTCCGCCGTAAAATCTAAAGCTACAGGCATCTGGAGCAGCATCGACTCTTATAAGCCACGGCTTCGAGTTGGTTACACTCCGGGTGTAACGGGCGTGTCTTTTTGGCCCAGTTTGTAGAGTTTATTTAACTAAAATTTAGATAATTTATTTTATACTTAATTAATAATTTAAATAAATTTAAGTAATTTATTTTGTGAAGTAAAAATTTGTTGTCTCTACGAACAGTCGAGACCAGCCACGTTTCAACCTATAGTCAGTATACTAGAAACTATACGCTAGTGTGTATCGATTTATAAATACGATTTTTTCATACTGTCTAAAACATAACCTGTAAGTTGCTGTTAATCTTTTTGTGCGATCAAGTGTCTAGTGAAAGATTGTTGATATTACATTTGCTAAATAAATAAATAATTATTATAGTTTATGAAGGCTGTTTTGATTTGGTGTTATTTGAAAAGCTAATTGTTTTATTCTATTAATCTAAATTGATTGGAAGAATTTTATGAAAAAATTATGGCATTAATAAAGCAATTCGATCGATGTTGTAATCCATTTAAGTTGGAATCACATTTAAGAAAAATGGGAGAGAATTCCTACTGAGATTTCGAGAATCCCGCCAGTCAAGTATAAAAGCCAGTCCGTCCGGCGCTGCGAGTCAGTCTTCAATTCAAACGCTTACTATTCACATCGTGATATCAAGCTAAAATAAGTCTTCCACTGCAACGAACTTGTCTACAAGCAAAATCTTATTACTCTGAGAAAATCATCTTAGTCAGCGTGTTTATAACCTAATCAAGAGAATAACATCTTTAGCGACTTCTAGACGAGAAAATCATCGTGTTCAAGGCTCGGTACTTCTTTTCACCCTGTTAGGTGATCTACAAGCTTCCTTGTGGTACACCTCGGAGAAAATCATCGTACCCAAGGCCCGGCTGGTCATCACCTTGTAAGGTGCACCTGCAGGCTCCCTTGAATACAATCTAGAAGTCTATTCATCATCAACAGAGCCAGCACACCTCTTCTCCTTTGAGTTTACAGTGTTTAACCACGATTCTAACCATTTGAGTGACTTTCATTGATTTCATAAACTGTGATCAAAAAAACTTTGTGTTCTCTAATTTAAACTTGTTCATAATTTTGTAATGAGTGTCAATAAAAATAACCTATAAACCTGACTCTCCAGCTCTTGTTCTTTAACATAATCATTAAACTTAGTCATTATATTCGTAAATTAAGTCTATAAATTGAGAATATTATATCATAAAATCGTTAAATTATATTTATTTTATGATAAAAATAAAGTTTACGGAAAAAAAATTTTTTCCATTTTTGAAAATTTGTCAATTTTTTTTTAAATAAATATAAAAAAAAATCGGCCCTGCTCGGGATTAGCGGGGATAGTTGTCAAATTAATTGGTTTTTTTTGAGAAAAACAAAAAAAAAGAAAATGGCGGACTTCGAAAAAATGACGATTTTACTTAAAAAAACCGATTATTTTATATAATTGATCATGTTAAATTTTTTTCGAGAAGTTCATTCAAAAACAAAAATTAAAAAAAAAAGGTACCCAAAAGTCCATTTCTAAAAAAGTTATAGCTATTTGAAAATAAAAAAGCCATTTTTTTGAAAAATTCATGACTTTTTTTGGGTTGGATAAAAAAATTTGAAAAAATTCTCAAAAATGTCTTTCAAAGGGTAGAAAAGAATAGTAAAGTTTCAGCTAAATCTAAAGGAGTCGGGTTCAAAAGTGGTCGATTTGGCATGGAATACCCCATATAAATATATAATTAACATATATAAAAATTTTTTTTTGAAAAAAATTTTTAACTTCCTGCTAAGAAAATTGAAAATTTTCAAAAATCGGGAAGTTATTGTTTTTACCCCGTTTTTCGTTAAATAGAGTTTTCATTAGATCTCGACGTTTTGAGGTCCTAGGAAGCTTCCCTGACTATTTCCGCGATGGCGTCCGTGTGGCTGTGTGTGTGTGTATGTGTGTGTGTGTGTGTGTGTGTGTGTGTGTGTGTGTGTGTGTGTGTGTATG